TGAATGTTTAAGTTAAAATTCTTATTACCATAAAAGACACGGTGCCCGGCCAGGGAATATAGCTCAGTGGCACAGCGGCTCAAGTGCAAGGTCCTGAGTTTGATTCCTGGTAGCAACAACAACAAAAAGACACAGTGCCGTTAATTCTCAAAATCCACCCCTTCACTTTAAACAAACTTATCCCATTTTTCTTGCCACTCTGTGAAGTAGTTCTGGATATCCTCTTTCCTGGCCTTGCTTCTCTGCCTCAGCGTCCTGAATCAGTTCAAAATGTTTACAGCAATTTCTGTCAAATAAAAACGTTACAGCCGGGGGTGGTGGCGCACGCCTGTAATCCCAGCAGTCAGGAGGCTGAGGCAGGAGGAATGCTGTGAGTTCCAGGCCAGCCTGGGCTACAAAGTGAGTTCAAGGCCAGCCTGAACTACAAGTGAGACCCTGTCTCAACCCACCCCTGCCAAAAAAAAAAAACAAAGCGAAAGGAACAAACAAGAGCAAAAGTAACGAATTTAACTCTGCAGAGTCCCTGATGGTACCCAGGAGAGCAGGGCCGCCTTGAGAACAGTGTGTTATTCTGGGTACTGTGAAAGCAGGCCCTTGGTACCCTGGCCCCATGCAGTCTACTAAACGACTTCTGTCGCTGGGAGCACAAGCTCTCCCACTTCATCTCTCCTTGTTTTTTTCCTGGTACTGGGTATTGAACCGAGGGCTTCGCCATTGAGCTACACCCCAGCTCTAGCTTCTTTTTCTGAGACAGGGTCTCTCTTAGTGGCCCAGGCTGGCCTCCCAAGCAGCTGGGATTATAGGTGTGTGTCACTGTGCCTGCTGATATTTTCAAACGTCACAGGAATACGTAACACGAAAAGTGGAAGGTCTTCTTCGGTAGTCTCTGCCCATCTACCCCAGCCTGGCGTTACCAGTGAGTTGGTCTGTCTCTCAAGACGGCATGCTTCGCCGGGCGTGGTGGTGCACGCCTGTGATCCCAGCACTTGGGAGCCCGGAGGTTCCAGGCCAGCCTGAGCTGCAGTGAATGCAAGACTCGCCTGAATTACATAGTGAGATTCTGCCTAAAAAAAAAGGCATGCTTTTAAAGGCACAATAATATCTACGACCAAAAAGAAACCTGCCCCAAAACTGAGACTTCTTTCTAGTTTGGGATATACGTTCCAAGCTTTGCGTGTGTGTGTGTGTGTGTGTGTGTGTGTGTGTGTGTTAAAGAGAAAGAAAGAGATGTGATGAAATCACCCCTCTTCCTTTTCTGGGAAAAACTCTCCATGTCTTGATTTTTATCTTTCATAGGAAACTGTGTGATGGGTCAGACAGCCAGACCATTCATTTAACATGAGCACGTTAAGACTCATTTCAGTCACCAGGCAGCAGTTAGACTCTCCCCCACTCCGTGAGACAGACCAGCAGGGCCTGGCGGCGGGCCTCCCGAGCCTGCCTCGAGGACAGCTGCAGAACGAGGTAGTTCTGGGGTGAGGACGTAGCTCACTGGCAGAGCACCCGCCTCCCGCGTCCGGGGCCTGGGTTCATTTCCCAGTAACAGAAAACAACACAAAGAAGAGGGTGGCCTCCGGGCGGTCTCTGCCAAGTATCCTGACGTTCTTGCGAGCACAGGAAAGGAAGGAGCCGTGCCTTGACCCGAGCCGGGACACCCTGCTGCGGAGCTGGGGAGCCTCGGTCTGAGCTTGGGCCCCCCGTGGGAGGGACACCGCGATGTGCACCCACGGTGCAGATCCAGGCAGTGGCGGGCGCACACTGCTTAGAGGAAGCAGGGCGTGCTCTAGAGGCGACCAGGAATTCTCCCGCGACACCAGGGCCGTTCTGCTTTTTGTTTCCCCACATCCATACTTTCACTTACTTATTTTTGTCCTTTGTTTTTGGTACCAAGACTCGAACTCAGGACCTTGTTGTGCTTGCCAGGCAGGTGCTGTGCTACTATCTCCCCGGCCCCATTTTTGAGACAGGGTTTCACTATGCGGTTCAGGCTGGCCTTGAGCTCACTTGGTATAGTCCAGGCTGACCTGGAAGTCACAGCGACCCTCCTGCTTCAGCCTCCCGAGTGCTGGGATTACAGGGAGAATAAAAGCAGGCAGGCCGAGGATCTAGTTCTGGAGGAGTCAGGAGTGCAGAGTAACTAGGTTGCCCAGCGATGGCTCCTGCTGGCCAGCAGTTTGCACAGAGCTTGCAATGCTCGGAACGCACCTCCTCGGCTTCCTGCCTGCTCTCATGACCCGCTACTCTGCCCGCAGGGCAGTGGGAGATAGCACTGTCTCAGCCTGAGCTCGAGAGAAGGCGTGAGCAGAGCAGGGCTGTCTGTGACCGGGCCTAACCAAGGCTGCGGTGTGAGGTGGTGCTGGAGGCGAGGGTTCTGTAGCCCACACACACACGGTGAGACGCTGCCTCTGTCCTCGCTGCTGCGATGAGGTGATCGAGCGCAAAGGAGCCCCGGGAGCATCTGCTCCAGCGCCCTCGTCTTGAGGCCCGAGGGTGAGGGCAGGGCATCCGGGGCCCAGCAGCACACCTGGGCAGGAATGAGCTGCGGACCCCAGAGAGACGCACGGCTTGCACCCAGCCTGGCACCTCCCGGTTCCCGCCCCAGGGTTGGGGAGAGCTCCCGAGCCGAGGTGCAGCGTGTGGAGGGCGGGCGCCCAGGTGGAGGGAGAGGGAAGCCGGCGGCCCCGTCGGGAGACCAAAGTGCGTGGGGCACAGGGGAGCAGTGGAAGCGGGTGTTCTCTGGCTTCTGCAGAGGAAACCACTGCAAGTTCTTCTCCTTTCCTTGCTACTTCAGACTGACTTGGTATGGGCGTCACACCCAAAGAAAGCTACGGCCGGACAGAAGGTGGCTGCAAACACACACTTCAAGGCAGTTTCGGTGCAAGCAGTTGCTACAGGCCCTAGAGGCAGGGCCTCTGGCTGCCCTCCCCGCTTTGGCTTGGGCTACTGCGAGCCTGGGCTCCTCCCGGTCTCCGGGAGCCGGGTCTCCTCGCCAGGCCCTCCTGGGCCACAAGGCTGGTTTTGTTTGTATGTATGTTTGTCGTTGTTTGGCTTTTATTTTTTGGATGTGATTAAAAAACCTTAATAAGACCTACCATTTCCATGTGCCTGGTATCCGTTTAACTGTTGAATTATTAACTCACGAAATCCTCACAAAAGACAAAAAGTACCCTGGGTCAGCTTTGCTGTTTCCCTCCACTTTCTTTTCTTTTTTTTGACAGGGTCTCAAAGCCCGACTCCCCGTCCTCCCAAGCGGTGGGACTGCAGGCTTCCCCATAACCCAGGCTCTCCTGGACTTTTTCACCTTGTATTCGCAATACAGCACAGGCAGAGGAGCACGGGACACACATGCGAACTGCCTGTGGAACCGGCTCCCGGAGTAAGAAACATCAGCCCCAAAGGGCAGAGCGCTTTCCTCCTCCTGTAGGGCAGACACCATCATTACAGCAGCTGCTAGCTACCGGGGTAGGTACTTGTAGGTGGACTCTTTCGTTTACACTAGTTTGCACAACAATACAAAAGTTATGTTTCTTTTCATTCTCCCTTTATCGGGGACCCGGCCGAGACCCCCAACTGCCTGTAGGAGGGGCCCGGGAAAAGGATGAAATAAGAAACAGGCAAATTTATAATGCATGAAGCGAGGCTGGAAGGTCCGTGCCTCAGGATGGGCAGAGACCGAGCTCCGAGCCAGCTGCAGCCCATGGGGTGGGACCATGACCATGACGGGAGGGGCTGGTGGGAGACTCGGGTGAGGACTCATGCTGAGAAGGACCTTGCCCTGGGCAGTTTTTAATCTTAGTGGTTTTAGCAGAGTCTTAGTGGGCGGGAGAGGCGGGCCCAGCCCTAAAGAGTGAATGGGAAATCTCAAAGCTGACGCCAATAACCCCATGCTCCATCTGTCCCGCAGGGGAGTGTGCAGAATTAGCCCTTGTGAATCTGTGGTCCCCAACATCCCGTTGCTGTATGACCTTGTGGATCAAAGCTAGGGCCTTGCACATGCTCAGAAAACCCTCCACCGTTCAGTTACATCTCCACCCCTCTACCCCAAACTTAAATTTTGAGACATGTTTGTTCTGTTTTATTTTTTTTTTTTATTTTTTATTTTTTCCCAGTACCAGGAATCGAACTCACGACGTTGCACTTGCCAGGCAGGGGCTGTGCTGCTGAGCTAAATCCCCAGCCCTGTTTTTGTCTTTTTGAGACAGGGTCTCGCTGTGCAGTTCAGGCTGGCCTTGAGCTCACTTTGTAGCCCAGGCTAGTCTTGAACTCACAGCGATCCTCCTGCCTCAGCCTCCCAAGTGCTGGGATTACACAGGTGTGCGCCACCACGCCCAGCTGAGACATTTTCTAAAACCACAGAGAAGTTGAAAGACTAACACAAGGAACACCATATAATCTTTACCTAGACCATGAAGAACTATTATTATCTCCACTTTACAGATGAGGAGGTTGTAGGGTGCTGAGTTAGATGGAAATACAGGCAGTCAGGCAGGACTAGGCCATCGAAGGAGCCACTATACCTTGCAGCCTGAGAGAGAGGCACCTCTGCTGTGGGCCAGGCCTCAAGACAAGACATGAAACAAATGCACCCATATACCTCCCTAGGGATGGACCTCAGGGACTGATATTCTAAATAGTGGAGATCACCTTGAAAAAGCCAGGAGGAGCTGGGCATGGTGACACACGCCTGTTATACCAGCACTCGGGAGGCTGAGGCAGGAGGATTGTTGTGAGTTCGAGACCAGCCTGGGCTACAAAGTGAGTTCGAGGTCAGCCTGAACTGCACAGTGAAACCCTGTCTCAAGAAAAAAAAAAAAAGCCAGGAAGAGTCAGTCACCCAGCCGCCTACAGGAAAAGCCCCGCTTGCTAGGTGACTCACTTCCCCATTTGATCCCGATTTAATCCATTTTACCTGAGCAGTTATACTCATAATCTTATTGGTTGGCCATAGCTTTGTCCCACCTCATGCCCACATTTCCACATCCCATTTTTCCTCTCCTTTGACCTACCTCATCTCATGGATTTGCTCTATAAAAGTCCCGAGAGAAGACAGGTTCCTGGGCCACCCGCTCAGCCCCCTGCTGTCCCTCTCTGGGAGAGAAGCTTTCTTTCCCTCAATAAATATATTCTGCTCTGGGGCTGGGGATTTAGCTCAGCAGCACAGCGCCTGCCTGGCAAGCTCCAGACATCTTTCAGGTTGGGAGTTTCTTTCTCCTATATTAAGGAAACTAAAAGAGAAATCTGGTAACTGGTGCAGATCATTCACCTGGGAACCTGTCTTGCCTGGCTTGCAGCGGTGGCCAGAGTGGACAGATCTTGTTTTGTTTTGTTTTGTTTTTGTTATTTTTGAGACAGGGTCTCACTAACCCTTGAGCTCACTTTGTAGCCCAGGCTGGTCTCGAACTTGCAACGACCCTCCTGTCTCAGCCTCCCGAGTGCTGGGATTACAGGTGTGTGCCGCCACGCCTGGCATGGACAGATCTTGTGACCGCTGAGGGTTTTCTTCATTATTAAGATAGGAGCAATGACCCCATTCCGCGCGTTCTCACACTGCTGTGAGGCTCAAATGTGAGCGTCGTGGAAGTGTCCTGAGAGGAGAAATGTGCCCCAGAGGGTCGCTGGTGAAAACGCAGCATGCTCCCGGGCAGCACGCGGATCTCGACTCAGTGGGTCAGGGGAGTGGCTGGGTTTCAACCTCAGCGGTAGAGCACACACTTAGTGCGAGTGAGGCCGTGGGTTCAATCCACAATGCCAGGAAAAAACTGCACTTAGAGCCAGGTTTGGGGGTGCATCCTGTAACCCCAGCACTCTGGGAGCCGAGGTACGAGGCCTGCAAGTTTAAACCCAGCCAGCCAGTTTAGTGACTTGGTGAGAATCTGTCTGGAAATAACTGAAGAAAGGGCTGGGGACGCCGCAGCGCAGGGAGGAGACCCTGGGTGCAGCCCGAAACACAATCCCAGCGGCAACTGGACAGACCCTGACACCGCTTAGGTCTGCGCAGGTCACGGTGAGGCCTGAGCCGCTCTCCCAGGGCCGCCTCACTGGCCAGAGCCTGCCCGAGGGCTCCTGCTCCTCTCACCCCGAACGCCACTCTTGTCCTGCAGGCTGGAGAAGCTGACTGTGAGCCGGAACGGTGCGCACACCTGTAATCCCAACACTCCAGGAGGCTGGGGCGGGAGGATCACAAGTTGGAGTCCAGCCTGGGCAGTTAGATTTAGTGACTCTGTCTCAGAACGGAAGAACAGACAGGGCTGGCAGTGTGAGGTGGCTCAGTGTGAAGACCCCGGGTTCCAACTGCAGCACTCTAGGCCGAGAACCCGGCCCCCGTCAGCCTCCGGGGCCTTCTCCTTCACAGGCCAATAAAAGCAAGAGGAAGCTCGCTCCGCTTGGAAGGGGGCCAATGACTCATCGGCTTACGCAAGGATCAGACAGGCGCTTTGCAGGTGAAAGGGCAAATGTGACACCACACAAAAGCTCAGGGGAGCAACAGTCCGAGTATCGGTGGACTCCCAAGAGGCAGAACGAACATTCGCTACAACAAAACTGGGACATGCAACACCTACAATGGAGGAAGAAAGTAATAGCTGAATTGTTTTGGGCATTGAGGATGGCACGGGGAGGAAAAGCCACGTAACTTTATTTTAAAGAGAATAAAAAGAACAAGAGCAAAACGCCAACAGCGGAGACAAGAACCAAACAAAGCAAAAACAAACACGATACAGGTTTCAGAACAAAGTGATGAGGGTTAACAGCGGTCCTTATACTACATATTGTCAGCGAAGTTGCTCAGATTACCAGATGGAAGAGTGCACGGCCGATCAAACCACTGCGGAGAATGAAAGATAGTTTTAAATACATTAGACGACGCAGCGCTTCGCTGGACAGGACGGCAGGAGTTCACGAAGCATGGCCCGCGCCACGAACGCGCCAGGCACCTTGCGCGGGGCCGCCGAGCTCCGGCCCGCTGGCCGCGGCGAGCACCGCGTACGTCTCCACGCCTCCGCACGCCCGCTTCTGTCGCGCAGTGCTGCATCTTTAGTTTGAATTACGGCGAGGGGGACACGGTCTACTTCTTGCTGAGGACTCTAGATACTAACCAGTCCTATATAGAGAACGTGAATATATATATATATAT